CCCCTTTGTCTGAAACCAGGAAGCAATGACATGTAAACCTCTTCCTCCAGATCGCCGTGTAGGAAAGCTTTGCTAACATCCAGCTGTCGAAGGTGCCAATTCATGGAAGATGCAACAGCTAGAAGTAGGCGTACAGTAACAAGCTTGGCAACGAGGGCAAAAGTCTCACGATAATCAAAGCTTTCAATTTGACTATAACCTTTGCAACCATGCGTGCTTTATATCGCCCAACAGTGCCATCAGGGTTGAATTTGATCTTGTAGACCCATTTGCAACTGAGTGAGACGTTGGTAGAGAGTGAGTAGGCAAAGAAGCCTCTACATGATACTGTTGAAGGTAGCTAGGTGCTTGTGTGGGTCGCTGGATTCGGGTGTCTGGTATAGGAGAATCATATGGAGAGTTAGACTTGTGGTAGAGTCTAAGGCTGCGACTTTCGAAAGAGAAGTCTGGTCACTGTGGCACATGGGAATTGCTTCTGAAGGTGTCGCGACGGGCAAAGTGGGCAAAATGAGGTGGTTGATATAGGGTGTGGAATGTGCGTAATTGATGGTACCATGGCAAGAGAAGATGGCTCCGCGACAAGTGGGTTTGGATTAACTGGCATTGTGGTAGGAAATGTAGGCGTTGTCGCAGGTAAAATGGCTAAGTTGGTTGGTTCCCAAGAATCGGGTTTGACAGATGAAGTTGAAATGGGGACAGTGGAAGCATAGGGAAAAATATGTTCATGAAAGATAACATTTCGAGAAATGAAAATCTTTTCGATGGTTAAATCATATACCCGATAACCTCTGGTATCATAAGGATAACCAAGGAAGATGCAACGAAGAGAACGAGCATCAAATTTGCTTGGTTTGTGGTGACGGGTAGAGGCAAAACATAGACAAACAAAAACACGTGAATGATCGTAAGTAGGTTTTTTGTGAAAGATTACCTCAAATGGTGTTTTACCGTGAAGAACAGGAGTTGGGGTACGATTGACTAGGTAAGTGGCTGTAAGAATAGCATCATCCCCAAAAAGTTTTAGAAATGTTGGCTTGGAAAAGTAAGGTGCGAGCTACATTGAGTAGATCCCAATGTTTATGTTTAACAACTCCATTTTATTGCGGAGTTGTGACACAAGTGTTTTGATGAATAATCTTTTTAATATGATATGTGTTTGGAATGGCAAATTCAATGTCATTATCACTATGAATGATTTTAATGCGAGAATCAAATTGGATTTCAACGAGGTTTATAAAGATAAATAAACAATTTCTAGCTTTAGATTTTGTAAGCAAGAAGTAAACCCATGTACATTGAGAAAAATCATCTACGATAGTAAGAAAATATTTTGCCCCTTCTAAAGTTGGAACATAATAACCACCACAAATATTAACAGGAATTAACTCACAACAAGATTTTGTATTAATAGAACTGGAATGAAAATGTTACCTAGTTTGCTTAGCCTGGACAAATGGAGCAATCATTAACCAAATGGGATTTAACAGAATCCGAATACAAAGAAATCGCTTGCAAGCTTTTATTAGAGAGATGGCCAAGGCGTTGGTGCCAAAGGTGAGGATTGGTATAAGTTGCAGTGGCAACGAAGACACTACACCCAACATACTTCGAAATATTCTAGTAGTAGAGTCCAGCTTGCTCAGTTCCCATCCCAATCGTGTTCCCCGAATGTTGGTTGTAAAGGTTGCATAACATGAGGAGGTTTGAGTCAATTTTTCTACAGATATTAAATTGAGTTTAAAGGAAGGAACAAAAAGCACATTATAAAGAACTAGTTTACTGGTAAAACGGATTGTCCCTATATGTGTTACTTGAGCAATGGCATGATTTGGTAAATGGACATAACGATTAGTGACACGTATGCTAGTGGTGAAAAAATGAGATGAACAAACCATGTGATCAGTGGCTCCTGTGTCAAAGATCCATCAAATAAACTTACCAGATATGGAAGAGCTAGGAGGAATACCTGAAAGGTTGCTCACTGTTGACACTTGATTGGCAACACTATCCGATTTTGTTCGATCAATGAGTTCAAGCAAATCATGGTATTGATCAGCAGTGAGATTGTAGGAGAAAGGGGTCATTTAAGCTTTGTCAGATTTGGAATCTGCATGGTGAGCTTTGGAAAAGGAGTTTGGGGGACCTCTCTTATCCCCTTGAACTTTTGCTTGCTTGAGCTTCCGGAAAATGTCGATGGTATGACCCTTGTAGCCACAATGATAAAGATGTTGACGACAGTTCTCAGTTTTATGTCCAACAAGGTTGCATCGATCACATTTGAGATGCGAATTTCTTGGTGCAAAATTTCTGCTGGAATTCGGTGATCCATTTTTTTCAACAAAAGCAGCCCCATCTAGTGTTTTCCCAACCACTTGTGAAGAGATATTTCACTGTTTTTCATCTTGAATAATAAGGGAAAGATACCTTGTTCATAGGCGGCAAGGAATCCATGAGTAAAATCTGTCCTCATGCCCCAGCATAAACAGGGTTAAGTCTCATGAGGAATTGAATAGTGCGTTGTGTTTGTTGATATTCATGCAATTTCTTTGCTATATCCCCATCACATGGTGGAAGAAGACTTGGAACATCACAGGCATCCCAAACTTTTGATTTTGTATAGTATTCACCAACGCTCATGTCTCCTTGAACACACCATGAATTTCTTGTTCAACATGGAAAAGGTGCACGCTATTCGCATGAGAGAAACGCTCTTTCAATTCCTGCCAGATGTTGAAGGCATTGTCACTTTACATCACACTTTGAGCAATGTTTGGTGAAATGGTGCTGAGAATCCAACCTTACGAGCAAATTGCAGCGAGTCCATTGCTTGTATTCCCTGGTGGATGTTTCCGATGGTTTCATAACAAACCTGTCCACAAAGCCATCCTTGTTCTTGGTGATGAGAGCCATGAGCATGGCATGACTTCAAAGATGATAATTGTCTTGTGTCAATTATTGAGTCACAAGGACCAAACCCGGTTGATCAAAATGATGGAGATAAAAGGGATCGCTTGGATCGTCATACATGTTGGTAGAGGTCATAGCTGCCTCTGAAGTTTCATCAATCTTTGTCATGGAAACTGAAAAGGATGGAGGCTTGGAGTTGAGTGGGCTATGGAGATTTTAAGAGCTCTGATATCATATAAATTTCCTATGGTAGGAAACATAAAGAAGAAAAACCGAATTGGAAAAGATTTCTCTATATTCAGTATTTTATACAAAAGAAAGAGAATTAACTCTATAGCTAACAATATCAACTTTCCTAACTAATAACCCTGATTTAGGAAAATTATAGAGTATCAATTACAGAGAATAAAGATGAATAATTAGGTAGGATCTGTAGGAGATATTACACCGATAATGTGCATATTATATTAATCAAAAACATACCGTGAAATCGAAATATCATTCGATTTACCGAAATTTGCTTTGAGAAGACAAAATAGTGATGACTTCCAATATATGAATATGGATTTATCGCTTTCCAATTTTGAACGCGTGTCATTCTTTAATTCAAACCTTGCATGAAATCAAACGAATATTAGTTACTTTCCGAAATCAAAATACTAAATAAGAA